CCCCCCTCTCTCGCTCTCCTCTAAGAAACTGGTCTGACTAGTCTTGCAGCATTTCGTGATCCTACTTGGAAAAACTCAGTTTTGGGCCACATCTGTTTATGCTGTTGTACGTCTAAAATTCTGAAGATTGTAATGTATGTGGGCTTGGCAGGCACTGGGGCAAATTGGTCAGGCTCCTCATGTAAAGACTCATATAGACAGCATGACCTCGCAGAAACTCATCCGTTTACCTGGTGAGTATGGCCACATCATTTCAAATGTAATTGAGTTGTCAGAACAAATATATTACATTGAGATTGATTCAATTTATTCTTGTATGTCTAAAGGTTTGATTGATGTCCATGTGCATCTGCGGGAGCCTGGTGCCACCCATAAAGAGGACTTCTCCTCGGGCACAGCTGCTGCCCTGGCTGGAGGAATCACTATGGTGTGCGCCATGCCCAATACCAACCCTGCCATCATTGACCCCAGCTCCTTTGCTATGGCACAGAAGGTAACATCAACTAATTAAATATTGGCTTGGTTATTTACATGAAACCAAATAGGGAAGTTGCAGTGGTGTAGTTCAAATTCGCGGGGCCCTCCGAGGGGAGTTATGTCGCAATATTGGAAATTTCTGTTTTAAACCATGAAGGCAAAGTAATGGATATCACAAGCATCGTGCAAACTTTGTGCAAGAGTTATGCTGGTGAATGTCTTAACTTCGGTCAATTCATTATACAGAAAGTGAAAGTAAAAACTGACAGAGCTTTCGGCATGTGACGCTGCGTTAACTACGTCAACATATGCTGATAACTGTCTATATTTCTCTTGTGGCCTGTACATAGTAGGAAAAAAAGAGAAGAAACGGGTTTATAAACAGGTTGTTTTTGAAAGTGGTTACTTGAAATAAAGCTGCTCTTGATTTTTCACTAATGAATGCAGTATTAATTTCTTAATTTAATTATTAAATATATTAATTTAATTATAGGATGAAATTCATTGTAGAGTAGACCTGCTTTAAAATAATTCTTTAAAAACATTTTCAATGAGTAGTAAGCTAATAGCCTAATCTTTTATTATCCTCCTGATGCGCTATGAAATGCCCATCTGCTATGCCACTGGGAAGTTGTTTATGGACTTTTTTTTCTGTCATATGTCTAGCTTGCAAAGGCTGGGTGCCGCTGTGATTATGCTCTTTTTGTGGGGGCATCATCAGACAACGCTACAGTTCTTCCATCCATTGCAAGCTCTACAGCTGGCTTGAAGATGTACTTGAATGACACGTACTCCACTTTGAAAATGGACAATGTTTCTCTGTGGATGGAGGTAAGGAAACGACAAAGTATACAACAAATACAATAGTATTTTATTAAATAAAGTTTTATAGTTCTTTAAAATCTACTTAAAATAAAAACCCTTTATTTAAAATAAAAATTAATTTATTTGTATTCTATTTGAAAATAAAATTTAGTGCTGTCAAACGATTCATCGCGATTAATCACATCCAAAATAAAAGTTTGTTTACATAATATGTGTGTTGTGTATATTTATTATGTATATATAAATACAAACACAT